CAGAAACTGTTTTTGTCGCGTCTGGCTTAGCTCGCTCGCGCTCTGAGGGAGACCGTTATTTCTGTTTTCGTTTCGTTCAAGTCAAACACTGATCGTTTGCTTGAAATAAATGAAGCAAACTGTCAGTTGCGTTTGTATGGGTAATCACGCGCGATTGTTGCGTTCTTTTTGTATGTATGTATGCATGTATTTACATGACTACTTTGTGTGAGCGAAAACCGTATTACTCTTTACCCGACACTCATGTGAGAACGTCACACGAATGAGTCATTGCATTGCGTCTGACCGAAACAGAACTGTTAGAAAACGTCTTCGCTCTGTTTTCGGAAAAAAATCAATTTCAATTAAATTGTATATATACTAACATACAGTAACAAAATTTAAAACAATTAAGATGGCTCTAGTCGAGACTGCTCAACTACGAGATACCCTGAACCCTCTAGGCTAATATTCTACTCATTCTGCACTTCTTTTATGCACACATGCACACACACGCATCCACACGCACGTATAATCACGCGCTCTGCTAGTTGCGCAGTAAGTAGCGACTGTGCTTGGGCAATATTATGAGGATTTATTTGTTGAATAATTTTTTTTTTGTAGACACACAATCTTAATGAAGCTTTCAGAACATAATCATACTGCTTATTCCAAAGCACAAGTCTCTAGTACTTGAAATGCGTACAAATTGTGGGCAAAGGGGGTGTGGTATCCAAAATCTGGAAATTATAAAATCTTCGTATCGATCAACTGTATATACACAGTAATACTTAAGTCTCTAGGTCTAAACGTGTTCGAATTAGGCTAAAAAACAAAATCAATTTTTCGATTATTCTCAATAAAAAAGTTATCGAAAAAATAATAAAATAAATTTCAGCTCTCTAGCTCTTATAACTTCTGAGATCGACGCAATCATACGGACAGACGGACAGGGCTATATCGACTCAGCTCGTCATGCTGATTAAGAATATATCACAAAACCATTATACCCTGATTTTCCATTTTCAATGGTTTCAGGGAACAAAAAGCTTCTCCTGTAAAATTTCATTTTTCGACATACGATCATATTGCGGAAATGCGACGATATTTTACATGACCGGCTTTCATAATTATACCGACTCTAACCTCGATGCATTGGGATTTATGATTAAAGACAAAATAGTAAAAAAAAATTTGATTAATAACTATGCTGGATAGAGCCAGCTTCACTTTAACTTCATAATAAATCTCATAAGTGGTACCGCTCGGCGCAGAAATAACCATATGCAAAATGCGTAATGCGGAATGCAAAATATGTGAAATGAGTGCAAGTACTCTTTCCTAGAACTGAAAAAGTCGAGGTTGCATAACTTTAAGTGAACATTGCTGCACGGTTGTTCATTAATGCAACGCAAGCCCATTCCTATTCCCACGACTTCTCCTCACGCAAAGTCCGTGCAAGTGCTACGAGCAACGTTAGTCGAGGGCACCTGCACAGGCGGTTATCTCTGGCAGTTGCAGATATTTAATTGCGTTGAGGGTTTGATTAGCTAAATACAGACGGCTGATGGTAGGAAAGGGAATGGCTGCCGGCAAACCACGTGGTAGACAGCCATTAGACTATGTGCTGCTGCTTTAATTTGAATGCACACACCGAAGGACGAAATGCTAGTACCTCATATTTTAAAACTAAAAGCACTTTACTTGTTCAACTCATATCAATTGTATGTAAACTACTTGAAGAGATTACCCTGCACTCTGCACCCTGCACAGAGCGGCTGCTAATCATCCCCACCTTTAGCAGTGGTTTGAAACTTTAAATTTGGCGATCTCGATGACTATATGTATACTATATATGTATATGTATAAATACCGAAGTGTACTGTAATATATATACATATGTACATTATTCAATTTAAGTCTCTTGGTTTTGCGGTTTTCCAGCCAACGGTCAGTCGGACGGACGAATATGGCTAGATTGATACACGAGTTAAAGGTCAAGCTCAAACGTGAGGAGAGTATGTTTTGTAGGTTGAAATCATTTAAATCGTTTGCATTAACAACGTGCCTTGTCTACATTCACTTCTATGTACTCTGTGCTTAGCTTACTACGAGGAGATCCCCTGAACTCTTCGACTGATATTCGCTTCCTTTCTGCTTACATGCACACACACACGCACACAGGCATACGTACGCACGCATAAACACGCATTGGCTTCAGCGTGGGCCTACTATGGGAACTTAATTGTTTAATAACTTTTCTTGTAAATGGAAATACGCCTTTTACAAATTTAGTGCTGAGCTTCTTATCGAAATTATATAAAATATCGAAATTATGTAAAATACATATGAGCCTATATTTAAAGATGTAAGGTGCAGGAGATATAATTTAATAACTAATTTTCGATTAAGTTTTTAATCAATAACAAACAAGTAAGAACGTTGCAGTCGGGCGTTACCGACTGCGGAATACTCATTCACATCCCATCAACAATTTAGTAGTTAAGTTTCGTTCTAATACTGTAGAATATACAGGTTTTTCCGATTTGCCACGCCCCAACTGGGCGTAGACACCTCATTTTTGGTCAGTTTTTAGAAAGAGATAACGTTACCCTAACTGCAAAGTTTGAATGCTTACCCTAAAAAAATGTGAAAATTACAGGGTATTTTTCGATATGCCACGCCCCTAAAGAGGCGTAAAAATTATTTTTGGGGAATCGATAGAGGAGGCTACCANAAAATGCATTTTCCGATTTGCCACGCCCCTAGTGGGCGGATCGGGAAAATTTTAACACTTTATAAATCGGAGATATACACGAGTATGTGTTCCAAATTTCAAGTCTCTAGCTTCAATAGCGCCGAAATAGATTGCGTTCATACGGACAGACGGACAGACGGACAGACGGACGGACGGACAGACGGACAGACGGACAGACGGACGGACAGCAAGACGGACATTGCACAAAACCAATATACTGATTCACTTTCGTGAATGAGTATAAAAAATATGAGATAGAAAAACGTGATATACACGGACCTAGGAGAAAACATTTATATCTTATGAGATCGACGCGTTCATGCATACGGACAGAGAAAAAATGACTCAGATCGTCGCCCTGATCAAGAATATAATATATACTTTATGGGGTCTTACATACATATTATGCCTGATTTCCCATTGAAATTTGGTTCAGCGTATAAAAAATGTTATTACCTCATGAAAGCCTGTCCTAATAAAATAGTTTTTCCACCAATTCTGCAGATATTACAGCCACGGTCAGATGCATTCATTCGCATCACCTATGTTGGATTTTCCTTTGGCCCAATCCTTCTCCCAGACCAGCTCAAGCCCGCGCACAACACAATATTTATAAACCAAACGCTAGCTCGGTAAGGGTGGTGGCATTCTCGTTCAGCTGCTGCTGCTGTTTTTATACCCTGAACCCATTGAAAATAGGAAATCAGGGTATAATGGTTTAGTGAAAAAATATGCAACGGGCAGAAGGAATCATCGCAGACCACATAAAGTATAAATATTCTTGATCTTCAGCCTAATTTGAACACTTTTAGACGTAGAGACTTCAGATTTACTGTGTATATACAGTTGATCGATACAAAGATTTTGTTATTTACAGATTTTGGATACCACGCCCCCCTTCGCCCACAATTTGTAAAAAACGCATTTCAAGTACTAGAGACTTGTGCTTTGGAACACACATTTTCACCATATAATTACGCTCTGAAAGTTTCATAAAAATTGTATGTCTACAAAAGAAATTATTGAACAATTAAATTCCCATAATATTGCCCACACTGCAGCGCAGCCCAAGCGCAGTCGCTGCTAACTGCGCAGTCAGCAGAGCGCGTGATTATACGTGCGTATTGATGCGTGTGTAGGCATATATGCATAAAAGAAGTGCAGAATGAGTAAAATATCAGCTTAGAGGCTTCAGAGTATCTCCTAGTCGAGTAGTCTCGACTTGTTATTTATTTCCCTTTAAGGTTTTCCATTCAAACACCAATTTACATCTTTAATATTTAGTTAAGCAGTCGATAAATATGTAAATAAGTGTAGTTCGCTCAAATATGAATTTTTTTAGTCAACTTAGCAGTTGATAAACATAAAATTGGATTTTCTCATAAAATGAGAGAAGACATTTTGGTATACATCAGTAAAATCAGTAAGTTGATGCACTTCAATATGGCGTTTGACCTGGATATATCTTATGTATTAGCATGCATTGAGATGAATGCTCACCGTGGACACATTACAACAGTGCTTAAGAATAGTAAATAATATTGGTAGTTATTTTCTCTGCTGTCGTTTGTTTACTGTTGGGACCACTAAGGACTGGAATCAGTTTTATTACATTTATAAGCATAACAAGCACATTGAAAGGTTCAATATGCATATTTAATGATAGTCTTAATATGTCTCTAACAAAACACCGAGGCCTTTAAAATCTATTGATGAGGACGCGTACAGAACACATATAGTTACAATATGCGCTATACGTCACATTCTAAGATGCTAGACAGACTATAAAAAATGTACATATATAAAATACCGTTTTGCTCGTCGCAGAACGCAGACATGACGGGAGGTAGTCGGTTTAAATCCGACGAGAGCCAATGCACGGTACGAACCACATCGCAATCGCACACGACTGCATAAATACAGATGTATATGCACATACATATGTATGTACATTTGTATATATACTGCACCTTGTTAGCAAGGATAGAATCTAAATGATTAAAAGCGCTCAATTCCAAATTCTATCAAAATTAATGTCGTTTAAATTAAAGGAGTGCGCATAAATGAAATGAATTTATAGCAAGCCGCCACTCTCATAGATCGCCATCATTCACAATATTGTAAATATTACATTATTACAGCAATGCTAGATGTAAACATATTTGAGATTAATTTAATTACACCAACAATTTTTAAGGGATTATCATATACCATTACCATTTTTGTACTGAAAAGTTTTAGAGATGCAGCAGCAAATGATGAAAATATTTACCACATAACTTAAGTGGGAAATTCTGCTGAAATTTGTTACACATTTTGTCAGCGTTACTTTGCGAAATTGTTTAAACTTAATATTATTATAATCACTTCTGTGTGGACGACGAGTCATTTTAGACGCTCAGACCCAAGAACAAAATCATTGGAAATAAAAATTCGGAGAAGAGCAAATCAACCGGACACCACTGTCACAATTTTGAGTTTTCCGATGCCCAAGTATATTGCATTTTTTCACACAGATACATTTTTTCACATAACGCCAATTGTTAATACAGATTTGGGCGTCACGGCCTTGCCTTACTTCCGTTCTTGTTTTTGCTTTTGCAAGAAATGCGCCATTGTTATGATTAAGTATTGTGCGTCGGTTTTATTGTGTTGTTTCCTTTGGTAGAGTCTTAGACGTGGAACATGCCGGTAACTGTAAATACACAAATTTGTTAAGCAATGACACTAGCTTGACGTTTTACAAGTCTCTATCTATAGCAAGTCATATTTTTCGCTTCGTGGGGCCATACGTTAGATATATGTACATTTATTTAAATTACACCTGGTTGAAACTTGTTTTTTGTTTTTACACTGAAGCAACACACACAACTAAAAAGACGATGTACACAATATTTTAAAATAATGCGAGAACGCATCGCTAACGCGATTTACACTTGAAACGACATACGAGACGCAAAGCGGAAGCCATTTTGTTGCAATTTGTTTGAATAACTTTAGTTTATTAAACCTTGTGATGCTTCTATTCCACGCTCGATACTAATCGTCGAGTAGTACTCGATACTACATGTAAGCAGCCATATACCAGTTCAGCCATTCAGCAATCATAACAGAAAAACTAACTTTAGCATTGACTAATCTGTTATTAACAGAATATGATTAATTTCGGACAAGCCTTTAAAATTTCTTTGAATCTAATGTAATTATTTAACTTTCACATCATAGATAAATAATTTGAAAAAAATAAACAAAAATCGGCGAAAATGATTGTTTAGTCTAGTACCCTTAGATAATGTTCAATAATTCCGTATTTTACATACATACATAAGTATGTGGTCCTTTTTATAGCCCAAAACCAGATTATTGTCTATTTTAGTTAGAACACTGACCAGAGAACACATAGACTAGACATGTAGAACAAATTTTTCTACAGCAGAAAATGTTAAGTTGGTCGACCACTTTACTTCGTATTTGCTCGGCTCGGTCGCTGGAGGTTCGAGCAGTGAAAATATTGGACGACAAAAACAGTGCGCTGTGAGCGCTCAGACGAAATGGTCGTGATTATGTATGAAGCACATCTATGTGCCATTTGTCCTACTCTCTCTCTCTCNTGTGCTTCATACATAATCACGACCATTTCGTCTGAGCGCTCACAGCGCACTGTTTTTGTCGTCCAATATTTTCACTGCTCGAACCTCCAGCGACCGAGCCGAGCAAATACGAAGTAAAGTGGTCGACCAACTTAACATTTTCTGCTGTAGAAAAATTTGTTCTACATGTCTAGTCTATGTGTTCTCTGGTCAGTGGTTAGAATTAAATATCGACTTGCAGTCCCAATTGAGTAGTTTCTTTAGAAATAAACAGAGCTGCCAACTCTTCAGTGTTTTTACAAACCGAATCACCAAGTCAAAATAGTAAGAAAATTCTAACAAATTCTAATTTCTAATTAATAAAATGTACTTTTTATTTGAAGACCATTTTTGGTATTAATAATCAATTAATACCATTGCCGTTGTTTGAACACTTACTTCTGCTACTCACTAGCAACACTGACTACTAATTAATGCTAGCAATTAGACTGGTTGAGCAAAAACAACAATAAGTACAATGTTGTTTCTTTTGAACTGGGCTGTTTTCACATACATACGTACAATTTCACATGGTGGCCTTTTAATATCAAGGATTTTAAAAGTCTTTAAATATGGAATTGGTAATTAAAGTATTTCTCGGTTTTGATTTACATACAAATTATATTCAGTATTTTACCTAAGATAGTATTTCGCAAAAATTAAATATGGTGAATGGCTTTGGATTTTATGTAATAGAATAGCTAGAAACAATGAAACTATATTGGCCCACTAGTGATTGGCCATAGCTTAAAGAGCATGAAATGCAATTTTTTTCAATAGCTAAGTAAATCAATTTAAAATTTCCCGCTACTCGTTGGGACAGCTATTGGGAGCACTGAAAATAAAAATTGGCGATCTGAATATCGATTACACATTCAGATATACGATATAGCAATCGGTTTATGATCGTAATTGTGAATGTCTAATTGCTTTTTTTTTTAACATATTTTTTTAACGTAATTAATATACTACACGTCTTTTTTTTTGAATATAAATAAAAGAGATTATTTTCATTAAATTAAACTTTTTTTTTAATTTGTTGTTTTTGTTTTGCAATAACATCTATGTATGTACCGTTTGGAAATTTTCCAGAATTGGTTTAAAATTCCAATCTATTTTGGACATCCAACAAAATACATTTAAATTAAAAGCTACATTTGTGAATTAATCCATACGTTAGGCATGATTGTCCATAAACTGTAATTCAGACCACAATAACAATGCGTTCGGCGGCAAAGGACGTGGCTGTGGAGAGAGCAGCATTACAGATTGTCGCTCCATGTCCACCTCAGTACTTTAACGAGAAGAGCACAAATATATAGCGATATCCTAATAAAATAATATAAATTAACTTACACGCAACAAAACCCAGCAACATTAGTGCCAATGACATTTTCGTCCGTAGATTCTGCAAAGCTTAGCGTGAGAATGTGATGTAGTAGAGATGACGTCGGTGTAACCGCTACAACTTTTTTTTTGTTATCTTCCGCTTTCATACCAATGGGCATGCAGGAATCAGGCAATGGGGGAGCGCCAATTTTGTAAAGACGTAGATCTTGAAATTTGACTTCGAACGAAAATGGATAAAAAGGTGTACGCATATTGCCATAGAAATATTCCTTTATACGTTGCTCGCGCGATTCATGCCGTAATTCTTTAGTGCGCTCTACCACGCCGCCACTTTTTGGCAAGAGGACTACATGAACGTTGCTCGGTACATCCCGCAACAGGTCATTGTACAAACGCTCCTGGTCTAATACAAAAATGGCACGAGCGCGATAAGCTCGGGCTGCATGCAGCAAGTGCTTATAGCCGTAGCCCTTAACCCAACCACACGTGTTAACAATGATGCCTGAGCTTTTGGCTGCAAAACAATTACATTAGGCGCAAAGCAATTGAAGTAATATTTTATATGGTTAACATACTTCGTTTGTTGGCGTCTAACGATTGCAGTGTTACTTCCGCCATTTTCGATACTACAGCGTTGTAGAGCACGCTGTTGCCACTAGGAGATTTGTGACCAAAGTGGTAAACTAAAGGCGCTGTTTTCGCAAATCCTTCTTCGACACTGGCTGGTCGTTCAATGAGAATAGTGGCTATATTGCCAGGGATTGAAATGGCACCTTGGCCCACATCGAGATCTGCATAAAGCGGTCTTCGGCCTACTCGTACTGCATAGTTCAACAGAATGCGACAGAGGGTACTCTTGCCCACGTCCATGGGCCCTACTACTAGAATAACTGGGCCCCGTTTATCGTGTTCTTCGGCATCGGTACGAAATTGTTCCAATGCTGCATGACAGTTCATATATTGTATCATTGGTGTCTCTTTAGAAATATAACATACATCCATTTTGCCCGTTACTTGCAGCACGCAGCCTTGGTAGGTAAATATAGCCACTTTTGCTCCTATTCCGAATTCATATTTCTTTTTCTTTACTAATTCGGTACCAAAGAGTTCTGCAAACCCAGAGATGAGCTGAAGTAAGATTTATAAATGTATTATAGATTCAGAGACAACAAATTAATATACACAATACCGTCACGAACACTTTGGCATCTTTTTGCTCGATTTCGAATCGCAGCTCAGAGTCTGCATCCAATATATATTCTCTATCATTATTATTATCTTCTGACATCTCTACTTTGAAGCTTGATAGCAAAACAATGCCAGTGTGGCTGTTTGGTAAGATACTAAACAATAAAAATTTAAAAACAAAAATACTAAAAATACTACATTCAAACAGTAGTATTTAAAACTTGTGCAGTGGTGTATGAATATCTAATTTCGTTTTGCATCCCTTACAAAGCGATGCTTAGGAAAAACGCGGCAATTTAGTTTGATTTTTTTTTGCCGCGTTTCAGATTTTATTTTTTATATAGCTCATTTATTAAAGCTATAATCAACGACAAAAAAAAAAAAAAAAAAAAAAAAAAAAAAAAAAAAAAAAAAAAAAAAAAAAAAGAAAAACAATTATAAATAATAAAAAAGATGATTCATTCAGATACTATTCCTGACGAGGAAAGTGCATTCCAAACGCCGGAGCACGAGAACGAGACCGACTATGGATTAGAATTTACCACTAGCCGTTTGGCAGAATTAAACGCATTTCCTCGAAGATGTTCAACGCTGCGCAAGAACTCTTCACGAAACCGTGCTCAAAAGATCACAATAGATAATGACAGCAGCGATGAAGAAAACTTATCACCGATAGCAGCTCCTAGTAGGCAACGCCAACAAGCATCAGTATCCAACAAACATAAGCCAAAGCAGCCGCCAGCAACCGCAAAGCCGTCGAGACGCAAAAAAAATGTTCCAGAGCATCGTTTGAAAAAACTACACCGTGAAATCGAAGGTTTACAAAAGCACCAGGGATTTTTGATACCCCGATTAGCGTTTTCACGCCTGTTGCGTGAAATTCTGATACAACATTCAAAAATTCCATTCAAAATAACCACGGGCGCCCTGGAGGCTGTGCAGACCGCAACCGAGATGTATTTAACGCAGCGCTTTCAAGATGCTTACTTGCTAACGCAATATCGCAGTCGGGTCACTTTAGAGGTTCGCGACATGGCACTAGTCGCATATTTCTGCAAAACCTACGGAAATCTCTGACGCAACTTTTAGAACGATGTGTACATACATACATATGAATTGATTTTTTATTTGCAAACGTTTATCAATAAGTATTGAAATTCATATAATTTTGTGAAAAAATAACCGTTTATGAATTCCAATAGTTTCTATTGCTCAAGATTTATTTCTTTATTTGAATACAACAAATTTTGTTAAATCAAAACCGAATGCATTTTTAATTCAGTGACCACTTAGAATGATTATTGGCTTACTACACAAATTAATATAATATGCTTCAGTACTAATATCTTAATATATATAGTACATACATCATAGAATGGTATATTCTTTCAGTGAGTAAGAAATAAAGCACTAATTTCCTATACGAATTTAAATAATAATATAACAGAAATATGATTCAGTATCAGACGATTGCCCAATTAAATCAAAGAAAATCATCATTTAATGAAGGAATTCCAAAAACTAATCGCTTTGACTTAACAGTTAATTGAGCTTAAAGCACGCCATTCATTTTTCCACTAAAAACTGCAGGATATTGTAGTTTTTACAATTTACACAGCTGTATAAAATATATTTATACACCAAATATATA